CACCTTATGCATTTTTAGTAAACATATAACTTACTGATAGTGCGAAAGGTGGTGCACAAAGCGACGGGCTATTGCAGAGCCGATAAAACCGGCATTCTTGTGCCTCTTTCTAGGAGACAGAACGCTGCGAATCATAGTGAGAAGACCGACATCTCTGTACTTTGAGGCATATACCACGCAACAGAATTCTAACATATATTGTCATAGTAAGAAATATTATCATTGTAAGAAAGTCGAACTGATAGAGAATTCTGATTACCGGTGTCACCTCACCTGTTACAAAGGCTCAGTGGAGCTTCTTATACGACTAAGCCGGTATCTGAACCAACTCCTATACGAAGATAAATCATCGTAATACGAGATCATCTTTGAGAGCGGCGGTCGCTGAGCGTCCAGGAACTCCAGATAATGGAGAGGATGCTACTTCCGTACGACATGGCGCCCAACTTAGTGAAGAAACCCACACCCCAGACTTAGCCTCAGTATTAGCTACGCTAATACAAGCAGTCGCAGCATTAACATTGGTACAACCCAAACCTGAAGCCCAGGAAAAGAAATTAGAGGTTCCACAACCGAAATGGACCCCTGCACCACCTCAATACTTCGGCGATGACACTGAAAATCCACAAGAATTCGTAAACGACATAGTAGACCACATGAGCAGTTTGAACATCGACACCAAACACTGGATAGCCTACATCCTAGAAAAATCACTAATATACATGTATATATATATATATATATATATATATATATATATATAATATACATGTATTATATATATATATATATATATATATATATATATATATTATATATATATATATATATACAGTGTAGGAAAAATTTTATGGTCGGTATGGACCTTACGTGAGATGGAGTGAGAAACAGCTGTTTAGAAAGAGAGAGGTATATTAGGTCCGCCCTTTATATCGCCAAACATGCATACCTGGAAAGGGGAAGTTCAACGTTGCCAAACTTATTGGATTTATTTGACCTGTTGTTTTTTTTTGCATTTGAACAATCTTCTAAGATAATCCAATTTGGGCGAAATTGATTTAAATGGCAGCTTACTGTTTTTTTTTTATTGGGAATATGCCACAAGTTTACTTTACAATAAGTGTAATATAACATTTTGATTTCCACTTTGGAAATCGTTTTATATAAATAAAATTTATTAATGTTTCGTATTTTAAGTACGATTTCCGAATTAAAATCTAAACATCAAAATAAGCTTATTTTAAAGTCACATTGTGCCTTATTCCAATATGAAATAATAAACTGCATACAATAACACCACATTAAAAAATATTCATACTCAATAATTTATTTGGCAACGTCGTCCGTCTGGTCAGAACACCGAGTAACGAGTAGTAGAGGTGGGTCGTGGTAATTTTATCGTTAAGAGCGTAGGCATAAAATATTTTTTAAATGCATTCATTTTTTTCGAATCCTGATAAAACTAATAAATATTCTTGAAAAATTTAAACGCAGAATGAACCAATACATTATTACCGAGGGCCAAAAGTCCCTGAAAACTTCTATAATGTTTATTTTAATAAGTTATAAGGGCGAAAAAAAAATAAGTGTGATTTTTAATTTCAAATATCTCATTCAAAAAACGTTTTGTTTACTCTAAGGGACTTTCGGCCCTCGGTAATAATGTAATCTTTTATTCTGCATTTAAATTTTTCAAAA